TCGTGTTTGGAATTATAGATTAATGCAACTTTACATAATTAAATTAATATTTATAATTTATTTTGTTCATATTTTTGGGCTATATATTTGTATCTTATAAAACTGTGTTTTAAATTGAGAAATACTAACGCGTGGTTTAAAACTAAATTTTTATAATATGGTAATTAAATCTAAGAATGATAATAATTGAGTACTGAATATTAATATACATGCGTACTTATAAGTATATGTGTGTATGTCTTAATTAATAATAGATTTTCGTGGATGTTAATGTATATATTTTCTGCAAATAGAAAACACTTTTTTACGACATATATATATATATATATATATATATATATATATATATATATACTTCTATAGTTAAAGGATTAAATGTATTTATATGCATACCATGCACTGTTAGTGTTATGTCAAATCAAAAATTATACTTTAAAAGATCGTTGTATAAGAATAAATTACTACTTATTATTGATAAACATCCTCAACTAACCTGTTTCAGGTGAACACATTTGCGGAAAATTATTTCCATCGAGATCCAGACGCTTTGGCACGAATTACATATCTGATAGAAAAGCATAGAAATATACTTAAAGCGTCTGTAGATATTTTTACAAAGCGATTTGAAAAAAGTCAAACTTTAATTGATCAATTAAAACCATCAATTTATGAATATGAAAACGAAATAATACTTTAATTGATCAATTAAAAATATCAAATGTGATCCAAGACCTATAATTATATGCATAACTTTTTAAACAAAACTATTTTTATTTATTATTACTGTATTGTAAATAATTTTTTAATCATTTTTAATTATTTCTAATATTTATGTAATACTTAGTATTTTATTAATAGTCTGGAAGCTATTGATAAAATTTTCTGTGACAATGCTGTTCTGTAATTAAATATATTTATATGTCATATTATTGTTATACTGTTATAATATGATATATTACTGTAATTTAATATATTCTGTAATTAAAAAATAATTTATAGAGTATTAGACTTGATGCTGTTTAATATCCTTCGTAAAATATCTTTTATAAACGCACTTTAGTTTTATTGCATTTGATATAGAGCTCATGCGGATGAATGTTTTAAATTGAATTTACAATACTTTGTAGACATTATGTAATAATATTATTTGCTAATAATGTACTTAAATTTGAATTATAATTATAATTATAATCGTTGCTAGACTTTGAATAAAAGTTATGAAATAATGACGTCGCATTGTACTAAAAACTTTATTTAAACAGTATTTATTACTGTATAGAATAAAAATTTCTGTTTATTTTTCAAAGTTTAACCCTCAGGGTACGGACTGGGTTAGCGTAACCCGAGTGAATTTTGAAAGTAGCGCCATTTCAAAGAAAGTGAACGGTTGGGGTCCGGTACCGGGGGGGAAAAATCTTTGAGGTAGCTACTATGTGAGCGCCAAGGGGCAGCTACGCTTGGTGCTCAAATTATACGATTTTGAAAATTTAACTCGGGTAATCTACACCCAGTCCGTACGGAACGTTACACAATCCGTGTTTTTTTTTTAATTGTGTTTTTGGAGTATTTGCTGCAGTAGTTTTTTTTTTCCTTTTTTTTTTATTGATAGTAAATTATGCATGTGCTTTATAATTTTTATTATACTGTATTTCTTTAAATATTTTTATAACTTTGTTGCTGAATATGTTAAATTTATTATAAAATTGACAATTATGTAGTACAATTATAATATATACCTTAGACTAAATTCAATTTCTCTTATTAGCTTTGTGTGAATTTCTGAAATTAAATGGCTATAATTTATACAATATAAATATATTTTTTCAAAAAATGTACTATAACTGTAATAATTATAAGCTTAATTCTCAATAAGCTTTTCCTTTCCAATCGTTTATAACTCAGGAACTCTGTGCGTTTTGATGTTTATTATCAAAAACGAAAAATTTTTAGTTCAAAATTTGATAAGAGACATCTTCTATATCGACATGATCTTACAGCTAGTATTTAACGATAAATGTATTATACAAGTATTATCTAACTGATTCGAAGAAGCACATCTCAACTGACGAAAACGACTTCTTAAAATTAACATATAAACAAACACATATTATTTATGATCTATGATTTTGTAGATATCTTTGTCCACAAATATTTAAAAAAATGTGTAACGGTACGAGTCAAACAGTTGCGTGAGGCACTGTGTATTTACATGACATATATGTATTTATCAAAACTTCGAAGATTGACATTGGGAGCAATCCAGCAAGCGACACAAGTGTTGTTTTGTTCGTTACTCATTGCAAAAAAGCAAAATAGGACGACGTTAATGTCGACTTGTGTCGTTTGCTGGAAAGCTCTCATATTTTAGTCAGTATTCGGTGTTCTTTCGAGATGGTCGAACGGATCGAACGGCAGTTACGCTGAACTATCCTTCATATTAACGGCTTTCGTGGCGAGAGCGCATAATTAATTGTTGCAAAGAACTGTAGCTTAATCAGCATACAAGTGTAATACACAAGGTAAGTCATTAAGAGCAATAATAATTAATTAGGTATTATATTTCGTTGAAGATACAAAGAAATGTATAAAACGTAATTTAAGTAATTTCGACAGACAAATACACGATGAAATTTATCTCTATTTCCTTGACATACTCATAGATTGCAGTAGATTTTCATTTTAAATAATGTATTTTTTTAATCAGTCGACATATTTTGTTTCTTATCATTACTGCATAATGAAAACTGGAAAGCGAAAAATTTAATATAAATTTCGAAACGATCTTGATACACATAACGTTCCGAACGTAGAAAAAATATTAAACAAAAGGAGATTATTATTGTTATTGACAAATAAATAGAATTAACGGTCATGCGATAAAAAATGTTAATTACTTTCGTTCCTTGAAATAATTTACATTATTTCCTATATTTTTTCCTTCAAATATATTTAAGGCACAGAAATGATAAGCGAAAGGAATTCAACACTGCTATAACCGACAATTAAATAATTTAAATTCTACATATTATAGCAATATTTACTTTTTTTATTTCCAATGAAATATTCTATATAACCAAATAAAAAATATACACACGTCGCGTTAGATGCGTAAAATCCTTCTCGAAAACTGAATAAAATAATTTTCTTTTAATTCCAAGAAAATATAAGAATAACAGAATAAATTAATTGCGAGCACATCAAGATATACATCTAATATTCTATAAAAAAATATTCATAATTTTCCGCGAAGTAGATCCTACATGTAATCGCCTTGATAAAAGTTGGAATTGTGTTTTTCCTTTTTTTTTTCTTCTCTGTTCCTTCGATTTTTGTATAAAAATTAATATTAAATTTTAATAACTTGTACCGCATTGTATAATATTATTATTTGTTTTCTTTTTAACGAAAAGTTACAGAAACCTAAGACGAGTATTGACATGGAATTCCCAAAATTGTTATTACATATCGGTTTAATATTGGCCACAGTCACGGACTTTTGTGGCGCTGATGATCCAGGACATATACATCGTTTACCCACCAACTCAATACCAGTTGATTATAACATTAGTCTGTCTATTCCGGATCTCGAAAAAAGCAATACTTTTCATGGTGAAACCAAAGTCATTGTCAGCATTGTTCGCGAATCGTTTGACATAAGCTTACACTCGCAAGGATTAGAAGTAGATGAAACGGCGACAACATTGGTGAACGACACAATCTATCTAACATATAAACCGACGAAACATACTTATGACTATAAAACGAATATATTATCGCTACATTTCGAAGAGCAATTGTATTGCGGTTTTTACACCCTGATCATGAAGTTTGCTGGTAAATTCTCTCAGACGGATTTTGGCAGTGGTGGTTTTATGAAAATTCCATACACAGACGAGGCAAGAAAAAACAGGACGTAAGCAAATATTAAAAATATATACTTTGTAACGCGTACATACGTAAATGCTATTGTTGTTACCTTATTTATTTGTTACTTTTACTTATTACCTTTTTTTATTTACTACTTTCATCATTATCGACTTACAACATATATAAACCACGGCGAAACACAATTTAAAATGTGTATCCATTTTATTATTAAAACCGTTTTCTAGTATGTAAGTATATTTACGATAAAGTATTTTCAAAAAGTGCATGTAATGTTTAAAAAAATATTTACTTTGGCTCAAAATGAATCGACAGCAGAGTACAATATTTCTGTTTCTACTCTCAACAAAACAATTACATACAATATAATAAACATATAATATATAAACAATAACTAGTGTTCCTTAACTTCTCGTGTCCTTCTCACTATGAGTGGTAAGTTTGTACTATGAGTCATTCCTTATTTATAAAATTGTTTAAAATCACAGGTTGGCCGCAACATACCTCCTGCCGAATAAAGCCAGACGAATATTTCCATGTTGGGACGAGCCCGCGAAAGGTGCTTACTTCATGATCTCCGTGAGGCATCATCAGAAATACAATGTATTGTCAAATTGGCCGAGCCAAAAGGTCCGTTGGCAGGACTACGTAGAAAATGACATGAAATGGACACACTTTAACCGCACTTATCTAATGCCCACTTATCTTGTGGGAATTGTGATTGTATCAAATTTTGTTCGCGTTACTAACAGCAACCATTCCGTTAATGTGTGGTGCAGATCGTCTTTGACATCGCAAGCAAGATTCGTGCTAAGTATTGCCGAACGAGTCACGCCGCTCTTGGAGGAGTATATCGGTATAACCAAAGGGGTACCGAAAATAGATCACGTTATGGTACCAAATTATCCCAACGGCTCCATGGGAGATTGGGGAATCATCATTTACCAGTAATATTCATAATTAAAGACATTTATTAATATGTACATGAATAAAAAAAATTAATATAAAGTTAATAAAACTGACGGATAACTTCTAGCATTTAAATTTTGATAATTAAAGACGATAAAAAAACACATGTGTATTTTATGGATATTTAAATTTTATTTATATATTTTTATTCTTAGGCTGTTTTAAAATAAATTAATGTGAATGTCACCCTTTCTTTCAATAATATATATATATATATATATATATAAACACATTAGACTGCATGCTAACGATGAAAAAAAACTAAGCATTTTGAATATTATATATGTTATGTTATGTCTTTTAGAGAATCAAAGGTTGTCTACGATGATAGCAAGGATCCTACATTTAAGAAAAGGAATGTAGCTTCTTATGTAGCAAATGGAATCGCACATCAGTGGTTCGGCACTTTCATCACCCCATCTTGGTGGACTGACATATGGTTAAATGAGGGATTTGCTGTGTATTTACAGGCGTATTTCCTCGACAAGGTTGTTTAATATTACTAATGCAATGAATTGCTCGTTAAATAGAAAAGTTGGAAATGCACTTCATTCTCTAAGATCAAAATAACATCCATTAAATATTTCTATATTCTTATAAAATGTATCAGGACAAAGCTAAATAACTAATGGCAATTCTTTAATTTAGAATTATAAAAAAGATTGTAACACTGTTCTTTCCGCGAATAACTAGAACGAAACATTTAATACTAATTTCTATTAAAATTCGAGAATATTATGTTCTCAGCACTTATCTTCTCCCAAGGTCATATTAAAGATTTACTATTTTTAATCTCTTATGTTTCAACATTATTTTCATATTTGGCGATACAATGATTATTATTGTAATAGTTATATTAGAATTTAAACGTATTTTATTTTTTGCATCCATATGACAATAAACAATTTACAAAAAAAATTTAACTTCTAGAATTTTTATGTCTTGATTTTATCTTTGTATTCAGTAATGTACATTATCTTAAAAAATAATTGAAGTATGATCTTCTCAAAAGAATTGATATACGTGAAACGGTTAACATTTGACATAAATAAATTACAATAAAAATTAAAATAGCGAAGTTATTAAAAGTGGCGTACAGGTAGGTTTGTATCCCTATATAAATGCGAATTTTTCTTCGAATTTTTATATTCAGCCATATAAAAAAAATTGTTTTCTTGTGATGTTATAGACATTTAAAGGCTGGCGGGCAATGCACTTATTCGTTACTGAAACCATGCACCTTGCTCTCCAACTAGATGATGGCTTAGCGGGTTCTGTTACATTAAACCTTGACGATCACTTGGATAACCAACTCTTTGTTAATCAAGTTCGTAAAAAAGGTAAAATTATGTAAATAAAATGAAACTATCGTCCATGATTAGCTCAATGTAGAATAACACGAAGACAGAGGTGGAACAGAAAGTGAATTATAGACAACAAATTCTTGTTTTGCGCAATACGTTCACATGTCTTAATTTTATGTATAAAAGTATACAAAATATACTTTATATGTATTATTAATCAGTATTTTATGCTGTGTATCGTAGCGCCAGCTATATTGCGCATGTTACATCATGCAGTGGGCGACCAGGTATTTCGAAAGGGTATCACCAAGTATTTCGCTACACAGTAAGTATGTAGTCTATATAGTTATCACATACAGCAACATTAAATATCATAAGTATAATGTTTCTTGCATTTACGTTGGAAAATATAGTACGCCACATCCGAAATATAAACTTGTGCGTTCAATACTCAATGCTATTCGATTAGAAGAGACCATACTTTGTTCCTTAATTATAATTTGACTAAGCTAGTTTTAAGTTATATTTTTAGTTTCCACATGTGTATTAATTAAATTGTACCTTAATACTCACGTTTGATTACGTAATAGTAAATAAATACCTACGACGTACGTGTTATAAGCTATAATGACAATGTCATATTTCAAATTTAGCCAATATACGGCGGTCACTCCCGATGATTTCTGGAGCGCCATACAAAGTGCTAAAGACGAAGCATCTTACGACTTTTATATGCGAGATCAACAATTCGGAATAAAAGAAGTGATGGATACGTGGATAGTCCAAAATCGTTATCCTGTGCTGAATGTAACGATGAATTACAAAACTGGTGATTTAGCAATAACACATCAAAAAAATTTCCACGCAACTGACGATATCAATAATAAATGGTGGATACCCATATCCTACGCTTATGAGGGCTCGCCGTATTTTTCCAATACTATGCCCCATAATTGGTTAAAACCAGATGAAACTTTTAGAGTGCAAATTATTACAAAAGGTTGGATTATCGTCAATCTACAACAAACTGGTATAAATTAATAAATTTTACGCTCTTTTGTATCTATCTTATTTGCTTTATCAACACAAAAGTTTTACAATATATTCAAGTTTTTAGTATATTTTTTTATTAAAAAGAAGCTTTAAAATTTATATAATTATAATATTCTTCGATACATTGGTGAATTACATTGATAAATTCATTGGTGAAGTACATTGGTAATGTACATTTTTTTTGTAACAATTGTAAAGTGCAAATTACATAAAATTTGTTTATTACAATAATCAAAAAATAATCAAAATGTCAGTATTTGAAAATATACCGTGATAATTTCAAACAAGAAAATCTAATAATAAATATATTGGATAATTCGACAGCATACTGTCGCGTCTATTACGATATTCTAATTTACGAAAAAATCATACCTTACTTGAGCTCTCAAGAATACACGAAAATACACGTTCTCAATCGGGCTCAAATTATCGATGATGCATATGCCTTTTTGCTCGAAAATCAACTAGATAGCTATATATTCATAGATCTTATAACTTACTACGAACGAGAGAGAGATTATGTGGCATGGCGTCCAATGTTCCGAATATTAAAACAGAATCAGAAGTACTTTTCACTGCCAGAGAGTAAAGGTTTCAAGGTATGTAATAACAGATTTTATAAAAATTAAAAAAATATTTGGCTCTTTAATTTGGCCAGTTCTGCACTTACACATTCACCGCTTTGTCATAAAGTCTGTGGCGGTCGGTTTTATAATCGCACAATCGTAGGAAACGTTTTAATTAACATTAATACGAATGGATTTTAGGGAAACTTAGGCGCAAACTCACCAATAATTCTTGTGAATTCTAGTGAAGGTTTTAACAATTAAGGCACTAACGATATATATATAACTAGCTGCCCCGGCGAACTTCGTA